ACTCCTCCCCCTTTCATCTTCCTGCTACTAATTAGGCATAGTAACTGCTCCCCACTCTTTCAAATTACCGCTAACTTCTAGACCGAGTGGATCCAGCTTAAGCCCAAGAACAGAATTCAGCTGGCCCATATCGGCAGCTGTGGCCTGTTTCCTTCTTCTCACATATACTTTAATTGGGCCTTTATCACATTGTATGTGAGGTAACATTTCCACAAGCACTATTGATCATGTGTGATTCAAAAAAATTAAAGCATACATGCATACACAAAAACACATACTGACAACATGGTGGGGAATCTGAATTACCTACTGTGCCTAAATTGAGATGTAAAATCCGAAAGAGATTCATAAATCATAAGTGATCTATTGACTGCAATAAAGACAATCTTCCTGATTTCACATTAATACATCCTAGAATAACCAGATTACTCTTATTGAATTAAGATGAGCCTTAGTTTGGTAAGTTGGCCGGTTCCATGATTTTTCCTTGATAAAAACATCATCCCTTACACAGCTGCACTATTTCTAAACCATAACTTTAAGTTTTTATCATATTGACAACTGAGATATCAAGCAGTTCTGTTTTTCTATTCTGAAAACACAAATATGTGAAATTAGAGTTGCAAGACCATGAACGCATCCTGTCCTCCCTGGTGTGACTAAAATATATTTAAGATGGTATAAGGGAAAGAAATAAAAAACTCGACGAAATTTTAATTGATTTTCTATAACCTAAATCCTGGACCCATATCTGGATCACATGAAACTAAATGTATTATTATCAACATGAGTAAAGTATCATGTTGTAGTAAGATACCTGATCAGTGACTTGTCTTTGACCTAATAATAGTATCATGATCTAACTACTTTGGTATTTAATTAGCAACTTCCGGCAGCCAGTCAGGATATAAAACTGGGATAAGTTAATTCACTGCTCACCTTAACAAGTGTCCTAATTTTACAACCAAAGTAATTGCATCATCTATGCTTAAAGGTAACAGATAGACAAATAGACAAAATCCTATGTAGGCTGGTTGAAAGCCATGGAGTCCATTTATTGCTGTATCTTCCTTTATCTGAAAAAGAAAACTAGAAGCTAACGGTCACTAGAATAGACTGCTGGCAATATTCTTCAATTTTTTGAAGATCACAATCACTTATCAATTGTAATAACTGCATCGACTACTTCCATTGTACACATTAATTGTACTGCAATCATGATGAAGTCAGAGACTGAGAGTAGACAAAAAACAATGTCAGTTAATGAACTAAGGTTTGCCAACCTGAGGATTGAGAAATTGAGATTCTGGAGATTCTACTATCACTGTATTCATTTATTCTGATTTGTAACACTTCACAAAGTTTGTACCTACCGGAAATTTCACCGTTTTTTATTTCATTCTTTAAGACTGTCTACGACTAACAGCAAAGCCACATCCAAACCTAACACTAGTAACAAGAAGACTAAATCAAATATGAACAGTAAGTGATGTTTGAACTATAGTTTATTAACGCAATACAAAAGATGTTTCAAATATAATAAATTGATGATATTCCAAAAATATGTTCAAATTGCAATAGAACATTCATTGTTTAAAGAGTTCCAAGCATAAAAGGCATATAAGCGTCCAGAAGCTATGGCTTTTTGACAACTTCGATTCCGTGGCCCAGAATTGGCTTTAAAGAGAAAAGATGCTTGGAGTTTGTGATACATTAACTCCAAAACCGGACTTTAAAACTTAAATCCAATACACTCGATAAATGCCTTAAATTCCTCACCTTCTTAGTTATCCAAAAATGATTGGAGAAGAAGAACCAGCAGTAGATAAATCATTAATTCGAAATATACACAAGCTAGTAGGCATTCAAAAGATCACTCCAAATCTTCGATGAACCAGGGTTACCAAAGTGGTAACAATCATAAACCGCTTCAAATGTTAGACGAAACTAGGGTTTTACCGTCGATCTACGTAATTTTCAACATCAAGAATAGCTCGCAAATCATCGATCACAACCTTATACGAATCGAACAGAAACCCTAATTAAGCAGCAAACGAATCAAAAATAGTAAAATAATCTACATGCATATCGTAAAAGAAAAGTGAAGAACGGACCAGAAGCGGAAAAGTGTGTTGATTTAGCAGGGAATCATCGTCGACAAGCCTCTTCGTCAGTCGAATGAGGTATTTTGTGTTTTAGCCCCTCACTTCTCACCCCAAACCTTTAAAAAAAAAATCCTCAAAATTGTCGTAATAAATCCACCCTTTGGCCTTGGCCTCTCTTCGAATTCGAAACCACAACTCCAATTCCATCTTGACCCGATCCGACCCAATTTTAAATAACCATACCGTACCCAATTAACCTAAAGTTGAGGCCCGAATAATTTGAAGTTCATAGTATTAGTATGGTATTGGTTAGTGGAGCATCTGCACTGAAAACATCATTTTATAATAATAACATAATTATTGGCAACAATTTTATGTTAAATATTGTTTGGTATTTATACAAGATGTGTAATTTGAATGTATACTTTTACATTATTAAAAAATAAACCAATGTTTTACTTTTCAAGTGTTTGGAATAGCAATCGACTAAATTCTTGTTTCATCATTCTAATTTCTATCTAAAGAATTGTTAACTTGAGTTATGAATTATCATAATATTACACATTGTAATAGCATACCAACTAGGCCCAGCAAATAATAGTCTTAATCCAATGGGCCTATAGATAAAGTCAACTCAAATGAACAGTTGGGCCCATGTCCATGGTGGTGAACTTAATAATAAGAATGAAGATTGTATTTGTGATTGTGTTGTGACATAGAAATTAGAATAGAAGCCAAGCGAGTTACTGGAATTTATGAGTTTTTGTTTTTCATTTAATACTTAATGCTGGTATACTTAAGCTACACATGACATGAGTGCTTGTTTATACCTTCTGAAATGGCTTAGTCATTTGATTGACACTCTCCCTACAACACTATTATTTTGCCTTGCCTCGTGGCCCCCTTCCTTCTCCTTTTTGTCGATAGACTCCTTGCCTTGCTGTAATTGGATGTTATCTCTTCCTAATACCGATGAACTATTCCACTTGCTCTTATGGATGTTATCTCTTCCTAATACCGATGAACTGTTCTCTGGATTGACTTCTAATATCAACCCATACTATTTCCTTTTGCAAACCTAAAACAACACTCATATCCATATCTTCTTCAATCTTCATACACACACAAACACAATCAGTAACCAACATTAATGGAAGTGAGTAGGATAAGTATGGGTAAAGATTCATTGTTTTATAACCCTATAATGATGTGTCACGTATTATGGAAATTAGTTAAGTGTAATGCATAAAAGTATCATGTGTAGGTGTGATGAAATCCAATGTATTGACTGTGTAACTGAAAACAATCATGTTTTGGATTAAACATATATCAATCTTATTATACGGCAAATTATATAGCGTGTTTGTATCCCAAATATGTAAGATATTTTACACCAGTAGTCTATCAACATTAACCACTCCACTCGCTAAACATGTTGGAATCCGAAGCCTTGTATAAACTTTTTCATTTAGTGTTCTTCATTCAATGAGGAGTTGTTTTCTTATGACATGCAAAAAAAACATACAATATACGCAAAGTTGGTAATTATAGTTGCCCATGTCTCCATAATTACTTATTCAACCTAAGAAGATTTATTAATAGTACATCAATAAAATCACTTTCGTTCAAATTCATTTACTTTGAAACAAAATTAGAAAGAAAAAAAAAATCAATCTTAATATATATAATCATCTCAGACGCCGTTCATTTCATATATCTTTCTTGTCCCCTTTTTTCTTAATGTAAACATTATTGCATAAAAAAGTTTTATTTATTATATAAAAACAAAACTCGTAAAAAAATATGTGACATTATTTATTCTCTATAAATGTGAAAATATATAATAAAAAAAACATATTGATAATGATAACCAAACATTAATAAATAAATAAATAAACAAGTTGTTAATCATTTGGAAAATGGAGTTAAAAGTACAATCACAAATTACCATCCAATTTAAACACAACATTCTATAAAATACAAAAAAACACTAATATAGGTTATTGAAGAAAAATAGATGATAACATAATTTTCATGTTTTTGAACAGAATTATTTAAAACGTTATTATTATATTTTTGTCGTTTTTAATATTCATAATAAGTTTTTATTTATTCATAATTTTCATGTTCTTGAACATAACAAAAAAAACTGTTTATGGCTCAAGCTCAGACCGCCTTCCGCCTCCACCTTCTCCACGGTTTAGTGATTTTTGTAACCGTCCTTAAGGTTTTTAATCAATTTTTTCGTTGGTAAATTCAATGTTTAACAAATGTTGTTCCCATAAATATACATCTTAATTGAACTGAAAATTGACGTTTTATTGTAGTATCTTTTGTTTAGTAATCCTGCAAGATTGAATTGGGTATCATAGGCTTCCCGAATACGCCACCAAATAGACCTTGTATTGGTTCATGTTGTTCCTATTTTGCTTGTGATTACAGTTTGTTGGCAACTGGTTTTGAATAAAATACTTGTTTTTGTTGATATGTTAGTGAGGCTATTAATATTTTACATCAACCAACCCCTTATTCTAAACAATAGCATGAATCTAGAGACAACACATTCCAAGTGATGCCAGGATTCCTGCTTCAATATATGTAATCAAAATTTAAATTTACCAGCGATCTTTGAATGTTAAACAAACATCATCTGGGTGAGTGTGGTGCTGTTATTCTACTGTTGAATGCTCTACCCGTCTGCTAACTGCTTGCAAGTATTACACCCTCTAAAAGTCAATTCCAATCTAAACACCTAATCTGCTTGATTTGTTATAATGCCTAAGAGCAACTCCAATCGAACGACAAAACATTAATTTTGCCTTTTTTTGGATCCAATCGCACGCCAAATACACCAAAGTTTTGCCGGAGGAAGGAAATGAACGGCAAATTTGCCGTGGAAGAGATGGACGGCAAAAGATTGGAGTTGAGTATTTTTTTTTTTTTTGGGTGTTAATATGGGCCACTTATTTGGTGTTTAGGTCAGAGATGGCCTAACAAACGCCACTTTCCTCTGCTACTTCACAGAGCCTCTCAGAGTTGGGATCATGAAGAATTGTCAGAGACCATGAAGCAGCCTTGGATGGTTAAGGTGCTCTCCAAAACCCTAACACTGATTCCTTCTCGCACCTCCTTATTCGAGTTTCGCTCTCAAGAATGTCACCACATCCAACTTCGAGTTGTCTCTCGCCGACCTTTGGCGTCACGTCAGAGACTCCGGTTTTTTTGTCAATTGACTTAGAAATGACCCGTTTGAGCTTGACAGATTTGATGTTCGTGATCTCAAGGTGAGAAGTTTGCGGTTGTTCAGTTTGGAGTTTGCCCCTTCCGTTGGGACTCCACTCCACCAACCAGTCCTTCATTGCCCACCCATTAGTCTTTTCCTTTACCTTTACGTTTCCATTTTGTTTTTAGACGGAATTTTACAGCAAGGGATGTTGATTAACAAAGCTATGATTTGCTTTGAAAATGAGAAATGTGTTGAAAGTATTATATAGTTGTAATAGCAAGGGTGGGGTAACTAAGAAATGGGTAAAAGCATGAAATCCTTCTGTCCTCAACCTGATGGTCGGTGTAATGGAGAGAAGAACAACTGAATTCTTGTAATTATAATGTTCTGAGTTGCTTTTGAGTATCTTGTGACAGACACAACTTTTACATATTTCCATGCCAAGAAGTTGGAGGCGATGATCCATCTTGTGAGTTTATATGCCAGACTGTCCGATTAATTTCTTGTCAAAGTACCAGTTTGATTTCAATGTGTGTGTTAAAGAAGGTACTATCCCGTCCTTTTTTATCCAATATAATGAATCCTGAATAAATGTAGTTCCAGGATACATGGAGGTTTTGTGAACTTTTACTACCAGATGGTATAGTTTTATAGTGAGTTGATTTTGTACCACAAAACTCATTTGCGCTAGTTTATCTGCATCATTTTTTGAACTTTTACAACCTTGGATAAATTCAAGAATATCTTATTTATCTAGAGCACTAGAAGATGAAGCTCGATTGCACTTACGTTCAACACATGAAGATGAGTTAACAGAATCACCATGCACAAGTGAAGATGTTCCATTGGTAAAAAATGGCACATCTTCTTTTTCTGGAGAGAATGAGGAACAAAATCAGTGAATGGCATGATGACCTGTTATAGATTGGAAAGGAAGGTTCGGCCAGATTCCTCAATGAACCAATTTCAAATCATTTTTTTTAGGATGCATCCAGCCATCAAACTGAATGGATTCACTTCCCGCCACCTAAGGTTGATTAAGTCGGTAATTTTTTTAATATATAATCTTGAAAAATAGTTGTGCAAATGTTCTCACACGATGATATCCTGATTTAAATTTGTTTTCATCTTATGATTTTTTTTTCATTTAATTTTAACTTGCAAATGTGTAAGATAAGTAATTGCTCAAGCTCATGAAAATTGCAACATTTAATTCAATTGTTTTTTACTATTCACAAATATTTAAAATACCATTCAATAATAAGAAAACAATAGATTATCACCAATACCATCAATTTATTCACAATGGAAATAATGAAAAAGCAGGTAATTTAACATGAAAAGATTATGGGGTAAAAAAGGTTGCAATTTTCATTGGACATTCAAGAAAAGGTGTGTTGTATTATTTGTATGGCAGAGGGGATACTTAATATCGATACTATGCAGGTTCAAGTTATAGAAAAGAGCTTCAAAGATTTAGCTCACATACGTGTAAGTGGTGCTTCATGTTTTCAACAATTTAGCGTCTACAAAAACTCCACAAGGGACCTAGAGTTGCTTATTGTAAGATACAAGTACTAATCTTAAAATTTGTGGAGCTTATTATCATGTTCCTTTTATTTCAAATATACAAAGTCAAACGTCGTGTTGCATGTTCCAACCACATATAAAGATAGTGGTAAAAGGAACAAGTATTGAATCATTATTTTCATTGCTCTCTCTCTCTCTCTCTCTCTCTCTCTCTCTCTCTCTCTCTCTCTCTCTCTGCATTGAAGTTACAATGTTCCTTTTGTATTGCAATTTGGGGTGAAAATTTGTTACTTATATCTGATTCCCTACTATGGGGCAAATTATTTCTCATATACTAGCCTTAAGGGCCTATTAATTAGCAGCTTAACAGGACTTACAACTTATTTGGTCAGCTATACATGACTGTTTGGTAGTTGCTTAATGTTATTGAAAGTAGTTTATTATGTAAGCTTTTAGGGGGAACTTTACGCAAAAAGCCAAGGTTTTTTCAAAACCTGCATGTCCATCCCTCCCAATTAAAAACATGCTCCTTCCCGTATGAAAAAAAAGCCTCCAAACAAAAACATTCCAAATTTATATAGACATATTAATCCACATAGACAGTTTTATCCTTCATTAAAAACCAACCAACCAAACAACCCTTAGAGGATATCATTTAGACTAAACCAGGATAATTATCGAAATCCGAACTATATGAATGTCAACACCTTTTTACATTACCTAAAACATGAAATTTGATTTATAATATACTTATTCATGTGCATGTATGTGAAATTTTGTAAGCGGTGTGCGTTGCTTGAAGGAGGTGTGTGCCTCAGTTCCCAGTTCCCTTCCGCTTGAAATAGAACTGGATTGGATATTTTGCTATTGTTTATTAAATCTGTACCACCTTATGCAGAAAGAGGTTAAGGAAAGGCTTTGCAGAGATGAAGATTGGAGTTGCCTTTGGCTTTGGCTTTGGCTTTGGCTTTGGCTTTAGGCATGTGATTGACCTCCTTTCCTTTGAACAAAAGCTGATGGTGGGACACAATTGCTTTCTTGGTAGGAATGACTTTTGAAGGCTGCTTTCTGAAAAAGACAATTCAGGACATACAACTTATTTATAAAACAGATATTGCGCACATGTATGTAGACAGTTTGTGGGTCCTTTTCCATGAGGAATATGTAACCATAGTTCAAAACAACTTTCCCTTCATAATTGACATGAAGAATGCAAATAATGTATTGCAATCAAAGATGAAGACGAGTAGCACATCCCTGTCCACATATTGCTTCTAGTGTTAGCAGCTCTGGCTTTGCTTCTAGTTCCTTTGTCGCGGTTGAGGTTCAAGTGGAGGTATGCTTTTCCTCTAGTATTTGAATATTATGGATTTGCAATTGTAATTGGCTTGATTTGTTATTAACATTAAAGATTTAACTTATTTGTTGATTTTTATTTGGTGTCACCATGCCACAATTACTCGGTTTACGATATTTACTTTACAAGGAAGTATCACTTGCTTTATATTCTGTCTGGATTTCTGTTGGTGACATTTCAAATTGAAAGAACACAAAGACATTACCTTGGTTTTGGATAGTTTGATCAGATGATAAGGGGGAAAGGGCCTTATGCAATTTGTGAGATCCGCCATATTCAATATTAACCACAAATTATATTAAACTAATGGATAAATTAAGAAATTAGTAATTTTGGTAATTTTGAATTAAAAATTTTAATAAAGATTATTATGGATATTTTACAAACTCTCTCTCTCTCTCTCTCTCTCTCTCTCGTTAACAACATAATCTAAAAAATATAACTAAACCTAACAAATAACCTAACACATTGTGGACACCAGGTAACCTAACAAGTATCACCAAATAAACCATTGTAATCACAAGTGAACACAATGTGCACATAATATGAACACAAAAACACCAAAACCAAAAAAAAAACAATTTATTAAGGACTTGGATTCACATTGTGAACAAAATCAAGAATCAAGTTTGAATTTGTAACACCCTAAAAAATTATTATTCGTAAAATAAATAAATGTTAAGGGTTAAAATTTAAAGAGTAAACGACATACGGGATTAAAATGTCGATACTCGAAAAATATGATTTTATTGCAATAAATAAAATCAATAAAAGAAAAAAAATGAAACATTTTGTATTTAATTGATTTGGGATGAAAATGCAGAAAGAAAAACAAAAGAGACTAGTTCTGCCAAAAGTAGAAAACTAATTTGGAAATGATTGAAATTTGGGAAATCATTCCCCAAATTCATGTTTTTCCTATTCTAGAGACCGTTTGACAATCTATAAATTGGAGTTTTCGGCTAAAATTTTGTGGAGACGTTCCTAAGGGTGTAAGGGAGTAAACGTTTTTGAAATTTCGAGATTTCATCAAGAAACGATAGAGATATCGAGTTTGAAGAGGCATAGGGTCATTCAGCACAAAAACGGCGATTGTGGGTAAAATACTCAACCAAAGTTGATGTATAATATATGGTTGGCTTTGTTTTTTAATTACCTTTTTGTTGGTACAAATCTCGTAGGATATGGTGGCTTGTACGTCGAGCGGTTTAGGCTAGAAGCTGCTGTGGCGGCGGCTCGACGAGATTCGAGTACAAAAACTCAAAATACGAGTTTAATATTGAACTGTAGAGGCTGTAAATTTGGATACGAGTTGGGATTATTATTATTATGTATAAGATTTTGTAAAAAGTTTGGTGAAAAATGATCGGAAAAATATCTCAAACGAAGATCGTTTATGATAGCCGCACCAAGGGTGCGACCGGGTTGGGCCGGGCGTCAAGTTGAGTCGGCCGACACTAGACCAGGTTTAGGCCATGGCCGACTTATTTCGGTCGAGTTCGGTTAGACTCGAGTTGTTTTGATAAAATCAGTATTTGTTAAAAAGAGATTTGAGACTCGTTTATTTACTTGGATTAATCGAAATAAATCAGGATGTTTCGATTAAGTTGGTCAAGATTTGGACATCAATTGTAAAAGTTATTAATTAATTGGAGTTTCATATTTAAATTATAAGAAATAATTTAAGAACTTATTTCGGGAGTTGTGACTAGATAATTGTGGGATCAGACGTTTTTATAACGAGAATCGTATATAACTAAATGTTGGGTTTAATACGTCGTAATTTATTTTGGATGTGAAAAGAATTCCATTGGGGGGGGGGTATATGGCTACGAGGTATGCTTGGGGTTGACCCGTTGACCATTCTTACCCCAAAGTTGACCTATTTGACTTTCGAGTTGACTTTTTGGGGAAATGTCAATACTCTAATTATTGAAATATAATTACATGTTATAGGATATTACTCAGGGACGAGGTTTAGCCAAACAGAGCTATTCAGGTGAGTATTCATGAGACTTTAACTGGAATGCATGCTTATGTACAAATTTATTTGAGCATTACAATATTTTTTTTATGTACATGTTTATGGGTTTATTACATGTATATGAATTATTATTGTGGGTTGCATGCTATTTGTTTACATGTTTTTTTAAACATTAATTAGCATGTTAGAAAAGAATTTATATTTTTGTCGGGTATGGGAAGGGGTCAAAAGTCATAAGGGATGGCACATCCTAGGGATGGGTGACCGGACAAGGGATAACTGTGTAACCCGAGGAAGTGCCGATGACGTTAAGACCTTAACCCGACGGAAAATTAAGAGATCTCATTATTATTTCAAAAGAGTTTGAAACAAATGTGCATATTATTTTATTTGGGRCATTGTTTGTTTTATGCATGATGAGGTGTGTATGATTGTGCACAAAAAAACCATGAACTCACCGAGCTTTATAAAGCTGACTATTWGTATGCATCTCAGGTGCAAGAGGTTCAAGGGTGGACAAGAGCGAGGTTCTCGCCTAGATAGTTATATTATTGTTATATTTCGGATGTTTAGGTTTATGCTTAAACTCATTTTGTAATGTAACCCGGTATGGGACGGGTTAGTGTTGAGCTATTAATTTTAATTGAATTTGTAAGACTTCCGCTGTAATAGGGCTTTATTAGCCACTATATTTTAGGGTTATTTATTGTTATTTAATGAGAATGACGTGACACAACTCATGGTAAAAATGAGGGTGTTACAGAATTCCCATCAAGCATCTTTAGTAAATGCAAAAACAAAAATGTAAACCACAAGGGTGGTGCTCGATTGGTTTGAGCTTAGACTCCAAAGGTCAAAAGTGCTCTCGGATTCGAATCCAAGGAGGAATAAAAATCCCCTTGTGGCCACGGAGGTTCAAATACGGTGACTCCTGATTTTGGATTCATTTTCAGATCTGGATCTGCACTCGCATCTGGATCTAGATAAGGATTTGGACTATGATTTGGATTTAGATAGGTGGTCGTTCTGAGATTAGTCTGCTCACATAGCGGGTTGGATATCCAGGTTAATCAAAAAAAAATCTATAGTATCACGATGTGTACCACCATCAAATATATTGATTCAATTAAACATTGTGACCACCTATCTTTTTACACGTTAAAATCACCTTGTAACACAATGTGACACAACACCACCAAGAACAAAGAACCAAAAAAAAACTTAAGATCCCTAAAAGACTTGAATACACATTGTGAACAATTATTAGTTTCATGTCTTATTTGGAGAGTTATGGATTTTTCTATTTATGGAAGTTATCTATTTATGAGGAAAATTAATTAATTAAATGCATTTATGAGTTGATGAAATTAATTTTTATATTTATTTAATAAATAACATAATTATTTTAAATTAGTGGTTCACATTGGATCTCAAAGATTCTAGGGTTCTCATTTGATTAAGCCCTGAGATGACAAATATAAAAATTATGGAGGAGCTTGAGGAATAGAGGGGATTAACCAATTGAAGCATTCTTGTACTCTTATCTGATTACTTATTGCGTTTAGGAGTATGTTGAACTCAATTTGCAGATCTTCTAACTAAAACTCTGGAGCTAAGCATGAAGCTGGTTATGATGTTGTCATGACAGGGTGCATTTTTGCCCAAGCATGCAATCATCTTGATATTGATTTCTACTCTCACTCGGTGTTGATGAAAGAAGAGAAGCTTCAAAAGTACATCAATCTTCTTTACCTGAGCTGGACTTGTGGAGACATAGTTAACATAACAAATGGTAGAACTACAACAGAATCTTCAGCATTCAAGATTTCCAAAATCCAACACCCAAAGATTTTGTTTCCAAATATTGCCATGATTTGGGGTTCCCATGCAAGCTCAAGGCAACGGAGATTAAAGGATCTCTTTGTAAAGTTGTTGGTTTGACCACAGGTACATCCGTCGACCACTTGGATAAGATTGATGTGTTTGTTCAATTTAGCAAGTTCGAATTGGTTTCTAATTTTCTGGAATTGAAAGCGATAATTGAGAAGAAGAATGATGCAAATTATGTTTTCCATTTATCCATGATCTAGGCAGAATATTAGTTTATCAAGTGTATAAATACTGCACAGTACTGAAGTAAGTTACTGTTAGATTTGATTGGGGTTGGGTTAGGTTGGAGTTTTTAATCGGACTCGTGTCATGATGAAAGTTATGGTGAGAAGTATAAGAAGAGATTTTCATCAATCATAATTGAATGTCAATAGTAATGAGGTGCATCTAAATCAGAATTCATGGAGATTAAAGAAAGGTTTGTGAATGTATGTATTGAATTTGAGTATGAATGAATAGGTTTACCATAATGTATTTTTGTTTGTATTAAGGAAATAACATCTATAATATATCTATTATATCATCATTGAAATCAAATAAAAGAACCCATGTTGTTCCGGAGTCCAAGAGCTTGTAAACGTAACCCATTGGGCCGAGGTCAATGGCAATGGATTGGTGGCGGTGGGTGAAGAAGAATACAAGTTAGAGGTATTGATAAGTAAGTATAAGTTGGTGTGAAAATGAGTAAAAAATAATATCCTGAAAATGAAATGGAATAGGTAAAATATTGAACAACTTAAAACGTTAAAAATATGAAACTAGTAAGTATATGATAATAGTGTTAATAATAGTATTAGTATGTAAAGTTGGATTGGGTTGTAAATAGCCCATGACCAATAATTTGAAAATGACAAATTTAGGGTTTTTTGTCATATTCGAGTAATCCTGCCTTTATTTAAAGCAATATGTACTTACTTAGCAGTTGAAGATGGGCAGTTGCTTTCATCCTTGCCAATTGGCCCCCTCCCCCATATAACATCACTACTTAACCCTTTTTCCATTATTACCCCCATCACCATAAATAATTCACATCTTGTCTCTTTCCCATGTCTATTTTCAGTCATTTCCATCTTTCTTTTATTTATTTTTTTAATTTGTCGTCTATCTCTCTCTCTCTCTCTCTCTCTCTCATATATATATATATATATATATATCTATATGATGTTTTAAATAAACACGTTATCAAACTATATATCCCTAATCGGTAACACACTAAGCTCAACATGAGTGACTTGTCTATGTGTTTACCTTACCCAAATACATTAAAATACTTAGTTTTAACCACTTGTTAAATGTGTCAAAACCTCACGCACCATTTGTTTAAAGTCTTTCATATTGTTTAAGGGTCGTGGTTTTTTTACAGACATAATATCTATAAACTAGATAAAATGATTATTATTATACTTGTACATGTTTCCATTTACATACATACATGCTCAAACAAATATATATATATATATATATATATATATA